TTGGGAAAAAAAAAATTCTATTTCCGATGTTTTGTGTAAAATATTGGTGGCGACTCTTTTGAACCATTTTCAAAACCATTAGATGGAAGATTAGTATGATCTTTGGGTAATCCAAAATTGATGAGATTTTTCAAACGGAGGTTCAAACCATCTATTGGTACAATTAATCGAAATTTCTTTTTCGTGTTATGACAACCATAACTAAGGTGTGTGCACATGTTGAGGTCAACCATCCACCACCAGGTGATTCCAAATGATATGGTACGAGTGAAGGTTGTCGATGTTAGAGAACATGATGCTCAAGTCCCTATGCCCGCTACAAAGGTTCAAATAGTGGGGAAAACCCTCTATTCTATGGTTAAGCTAGCTAACTAGGGCTCATGTGTCTAAGGCAATCAATGTTTTAATTTACTACATTCTGAAGGATGTCTTTAATTAATTATGTGTTACTAACTTAATAATTTGTATTCTATGATGTTTAGGTTGATTGTAGAAAAGGGAAAGTGGTTGTTTCTATAAATGCAACACCTTCTAAGCTTTCTCCTCAACATCATTTGGCTTTGGTGACAATTGATCTCTAGAAGTGTGAGATTGAGATAACCATATGCCTCTCAAGGTTGTTGATAGAAATGACCATATTCCTTTCTTTATATGCCAGCGTGATGCCATAGACATCGTTTCTGGTGATAACCTCCTATCCATATCTATGATGCAATTATGGATTAAGTATATAATGGTTTTTATTTTAATATATTCATTTACACATTCTTAATATTATGTTTGTTTCAACAATTTAAGGTTACTTTATTGCATCTTTGTAGAGATGCAAAATGCTTTTTATTGTGGTTTTAGTGTGTTGGGAATAAAAAGATTAAGCTGAAGGAGTATTTGATAGGCTGATTCAGGCTAGGAGGAAAGGAGGTCTACTTAGCACCTTATTCAAATGGATAAGTACTTGTGTTATATTTTATTTAAAGTTTATAGTAACTTACAAGTTTCTAACACTATTACAAAATGCAATGCACATTGGTAGCTCCTCAATATAATTCCAAGGCAGTTTTCTTGTAGTTCTCTTGTGTTCATTACACAAGAAAACTATTGAGTTTCTTGTTAGACACCTTATTGACTCATAAGTATCTACTTTCATCTTTATGATTTTTTTATTTTTTTTATAATATCATGAAATAAATAATAGTTTCATTCTTTAACTATTTTTTATTTATCATTTATTTTCATAGTTCTTTGATGAAAGGTTGATCTTGTAAGGGGTTACCTTCGATAACTTGAAAAAAGCTTCATTATATTGTCTTAAGAGTAAGTAAATTGTCAACATAATAATACTTATAGTTGAATTAAAACATATTGTAACTCTGTTTCATTTATGTTTTATATTCACTAAACTATAATGTCCACGTTAACTAGGTAATCATAAGTGCGATTATTACATGATGAAACACATGCTCACCATTATTACTAGAAACATTAGGGAATCATCGAGAGATATAATACATTTTTAAGTCAAATTAATTACTTTAAATAATTATTTAATTGTTTAGTAATTGTAGGCATTCAGAAATCCCACTCTAGAAATCCCACTCCATTTATCGATGAAGATTTGGAAGATATCCGCAAAAGATGGACATCCACTTTTCTTGAGTCAATAAGAGGGTTATTTAAATAATTATTTAATTGTTTAGTAATTGTAGGCATTCAGAAATCCCACTCTAGAAATCCCACTCCATTTATCGATGAAGATTTGGAAGATATCCGCAAAAGATGGACATCCACTTTTCTTGAGTCAATAAGAGGGTTAATTTATGTTTTTGTACATTGTTTTAGTTTTATTTGTGTATTTTGGCTTGTTTATTTTAGATTCATTATTATTTGATAACATTGGTACATTCTTATAGTAATTGTTTGTTGTTATTAATTAATGATAGTTATTGTTATTTTAACTTTATTGTTAACTTGTTTTGATTTCTAGATAGGTTTCTTTGTACATTGTTATTAAGTAAAAATGATATATATTATTTTTATATATTTCTTTTATTGAATTGGACAATACTATGTCATATTGAACTATCTAGACTGTATTTTATATCCACAAGTTTAGAAAAATTCAAAAAACAAATAGGATATTAAAAACATGCACTTTCTATAATGGTTATGACCACACCCATCATAGAAAGTGCACACTTTATAGTGGGTGTCATCTTATCCATTATAGAATGTGTGACATTATTTTATGTCACGTTTGGTCACACTCACCATAGAATATGGGTGTCAATGTGATTAAATTATCACATTTGATACTTATACTGTCCAAGGTAAATACTGAGATGGTTACTATCTCATAATTAATCCGAGGGGATTGGTTAACCTACACTCAGCATAGGAAGGGCTATCAGGCCAAAATAAAACCGACATCTTATGGAGGTCGACCTTTTGGGAATGGGATTGGAATAAGTCTGCCGTAGATTGACATATGTGGGACAAAATCTTATCTTTAATGACCAAAGATTATGCCATTAAAACCACCTTGGAATATCCTGATGTTTTTCGGACCTATAAGACCCACAAATAGGTATCTCTAAAATCTCGAACCCTAGACCCAGGAAGACGAATTAAACACTTGAATGCTTTGGCTTTAGGGGCTCGCCTGGAAAGAACCCTAGACATCCTCCAGAATGAAACATTTTGGCGCCCATCGTGGAACGAAGAAAAAACTTCTCCTATGCCCCAAGGAACAAACTCAAAAGAGGAGACAAGAATCTTAGAAGAGATGGTGAGAGGTGGCCGAATCATGATGTGCAAAAGTCGACCATGGGGGAGATGATGGCATTAATCAACAACTTGAGAGAAGAAAATGCTCAAGCCAGGGAGAGGGAGGTGGCCATTAGACGAGAGAATGGAGAAATTTGACAATGGGCAGATGAGATGCAGGCTACGATAGCAGCCAATCTTAGGCCTGCATAGGAAGATTCAATGATGGAAGTCCTAAGGGATTTTAGACCCTTTTTTGGAAGCAAGTGAACCCAATGCTATCCCGTTAGATCACAGGGTACCCCAAGTCAAACCTTTTGATGGAATGCATGATCCCAATCAACACTTGACGGACTTTCGAGCTCCAATGTTAATCTGAGGAGAGAGCACTACAAAAAAAAGTCAATTTACCCACCGAAATTAGCGACCGATTTTTTTCCGTCGCTAATAGCGACCGAATATGATTTTTACATATAGTGACAACAGCTAAGGGAAGATTCTAGGTTGTGGAAATGCTAGTAACTCTTTTTCCTCAACATTGATTGAAAATGTGTTGCTTGTTGAAGGGCTGAAACAAATTTGCTAAGTATAAGCCAACTAAGTGATAAGGGATTCAAAATTGAATTTGATAATTCTTGTTTGATTTATGATAAATTGACTATAGAAATTAGATTCATTGGAAAAAGAATTGATAACATTTACATGTTAGACTTAGAGCATTCAATCACAATTTCTAACACAAAATGCTTGATCACTAAGGAAGACAATGTTTGGCTTTGGCATAGAAGAGATGCACACATACATATGAGTTATTTAAACAAATTATGTAGAAAAGAGTTAGTAATTGGATTACCTAAACTCGAGTTCAGCAAGGATAAACTATGTGATGCTTGTCAAAAGAATAAGCAAGTGAAGGCTAGTTTTAAAAACAAAAATCTAATTTCAACTTCTAGGCCTTTACAACTAATTCACATGGATTTGTTTGGTCCTTCAAGAACCATGAGTCTAGGAGGGAATTACTATGGGTTGGTTATGGTGGATGACTATTCAAGGTTTACTTAGGTAATGTTTCTTGCTATTAAAAGTGATGCTTTCAATGCTTTTAAAAAATTTGCTAAGCTTGTTCAAAATGAGAAGAACACAAACATCACCTCAATTAGGAGTGATCATGAAGGAGAATTCCAAAAGGTTTTATTCCAAAAATTTTGTGAGGAATGTGGCATTGATCACAATTTTTCAGCACCTAGGACTCCTCAACAAAATGGAGTTGTGGAAAGGAAAAATAGGTCTCTTGAGGAATTAGCTAGAACAATGCTAAATGAGACTAATCTACCTAAATACTTTTGGGTTGATGCAATTAATACAACATGTCATGTATTAAACAAATTTCTAATTAGGCCTATTCTAAAAAGAACACCTTATGAGATTTACAAAGGTATGAAGCCTAATATCTCATACTTAAAAGTATTTGGTTGTAAATGTTTTATGTTGAACAATGGTAAGGAACAACTTGGGAAATTTCATGCTAAAGTTGATGAAGCAATTTTCTTGGGTTACTCTACAAATAGCAAGGCTTATAGAGTGTTTAATAAGAGAACCATAGTAGTTGAAGAATTTGTAAATGTTGTGTTTGATGAAACCAACCAGCAAGAAATAAAGAAAACTGAAATAGAAGACTTATCTGAATTGCTTGATCAGCCTCCCTTAGAAAATGAACAAAGTAAGTTGCCTAAAGAAAGTGAATCAAAAGAAACCATAGAAGAAACTAGTGAACATTTGCCTAAAAAGTAGAGAACTTCTAAGGACTTATCAATTGAAAATATAATTAGAAATATTGGTAAAGGAGTAACTACTAGAGGTATATCAAGAATATTTGTAACACAATGGCTTTTGCTTCACAAGTTGAACCCAAAACAATAGATGAAGCACTACATGATGAACATTAGTTGATGGCTATGCAAGAGGAACTAAACCAATTTGTAAGGAATGAAGTTTAGGATTTAGTGTCATTACCAAGTGATCATCCAATAATTGGAACTAAATGGGTATTTAGGAACAAGTTTGATGAATCTGGAATCATTATAAGAAATAAAGCAAAGTTAGTTGCTAAGGGGTATAATCAAGAAGAGGGAATTGATTATGATGAGACATTTGTCCCTGTAGCTAGGATAAAGGCTATAAGATTGTTACTTTTTTATGCTTCAATAATGAATTTCAAGCTGTACCAAATGGATGTGAAAAGTGTCTTTCTAAATGGTTTCATACAAGAAGAAGTTTATGTTGAACAACCACTTGGGTTTGTTGATTTTAAATATCCAAATCATGTGTATAAACTTAAAAAAGCACTTTATGGTTTAAAACAAGCACCAAGATCATGGTATGACAAGCTAAGCAAATTCTTGATAGAAAATGACTATGTTAGAGGTAAAGTAGACAACACATTATTTGTGAAAAAATTCAAGAAAGATACAATGTATGTTCAAATCTATGTTGATGACATTGTTTTTGGTTCTTCTAATCCATCTCTATGTGAAGAATTTGTTAAGACTATGCAAGGTGAATTTGAGATGTCCATGAAGGGAGAACTTACATTTTTCTTGGGATTACAAATAAAGCAATTGAATGATGGTACTTTTATAAGTCAAAGCAAGTATTGCAATGAGTTACTGAAGAAGTTTGGTATGGATGGGTGTAAAGAGGCTGCAACACCTAATCTTGACTTAGATGAGAAGGGAACAACTGTTGAAAATTCAAAGTTTAGAGGTATTATTGGATCATTATTGTATTTGATAGCTAGTAGACCTAATATAATATTTGTTGTGTGCTTGTGTGCAAGATTTCAGGCTAATCCAAAAGAGTCTCATTTGAAATTTGTTAAAAGAATACCTAAATATCTAAAAGGAACAATAAATGTAAGATTGTGGTATCCAAAAGGAGTCTCACTAAGTCTAATAGGATATTCAGATTCAGACTATGCTGGGTGTAGAATTGATAGGAAGAGTAAAAGTGGTACCTGTCACCTACATGGAAGTGCACTTGTCTCATGGCATAGCAAAAAGCAAGCATGTGTTGCTTTAAGTATAGTTGAGGCTAAGTATATTGTTACTTAAATATAATATAATAATTATTATTTGTAATATAATTATTAAATCTATTATTATACTTAAATTTGGTCGCTAATTCGATCGCTAAGGCAAATAGCGACCAATTTTAGAAATTTAGCGACCGATTTTGGTGGTCGCTAAATCCATTTTTTTTTTGTAGTGGAGTATGGGAGTTCGTTGCAAACTATTCATGGGAATGTTGAAGAATGTAGCTTTGGATTGGTTTAGTGGACTGCTAGATTGATCGATCACTGACTTTGACGTATTCAGTCGATTACTCATGGAGCAATTCGCTATGAATAAGAAAAAACCTTCGATTACGTCAAACTTGTTTGACCTTAAGCAACAATGGGGTGAATCGTTAAAAGATTTTCTTCAAAGATTCAATGAAGTGGCTTTGAGAATAGCATCCATAGATGAGAAGATAGCATTCATAGCCTTCCAAAAGGGCTTAAGGTCAGGCAACTTGATGTCCCGTTGGAAAGAATGAACTATCAAACGATGTCAGAGGTAAGTGTTTTTGCCCTGAGCCACAAAAAGACGGAGGAAGGACAAATCAACAAAAGAGCTATAAAAAATTGAGAGGTGGTTGTTGGCAATAAGGAGGGGAGTAAACATCTTCACGCACGTTCATACTAGAATAAAAGGAGAGACCGTTACAATACGAGAAATGGAAGCTCCAGACACATGGATTACGAAGGAGGACTAAGGGAAGAGTGGACGAGGAGCAACGAGCAGGAAAAATTTACCCCACTCAACACCTCAAGGATTCAAATTTTGCACAATGTTAATAACACACCACTCTTTGAATTTCTAGTGCCAATTAATCAACAACTTGTCCTTTTCAAAACTGATTGGTGCGATTTCTATAGAAATCACGGACAGATCACGAAGAATTACTTTGTTTTAGGGAGACAAATTGAGCGCCTAATTAAGGAAAGGAGTTTGGAGAAATTCATCCTAAAAAAGGGCAAGGGCAGTTCGTCGGAGCGAAGATATTAAAATGGGGGAGACAAGAAAAGGAGTGAGAGGTCAAAAGAAGAGTCTTCCTCCAAGGGGATCCCAAACGAAGGGCCCTAAGGTCCATTAGTAGGCAATTCACGAATATTTCAACACCATCGTTGGAGAATTTGCAGGAGGAGGCACCACTTAATCAACTTGAAAAAGGTATGCTCATTCTGTATTGACCATATCGAAAGTAAGACGACCAACCAACCCACTATCATGTTCTCAGATTCTGATTATAAGGGTGTGGCTCCCCATGATGATGATCCAATCGTCATTTTAGCGATTGTAATGGGTTATAATGTGAAGCGTGTGTTGATAGATTAGGGGAGTTCTACTGACATCCTGTTCTAGGAAGCTTTCACAGGGATAAAGATACCTAGTGACTGACTTATGCCTTACACAGGAACTTGGGTGGGTTTCATGGACAACCAAGTTGTGGTCAGGGGATTCGTTGATCTAGAGACAACCTTTGGTCAAGGGACCTAGATGAAGACAATTATTATTCGGTATTTGGTTGTGAATGCTCAATTTTCTTATAACATTTTGATTGGACAACCAATGTTGAATAAACTAGGAGTTGTGGTGTCGAATTCGCATTCGAAGGTGAAGTAGCCACTACCGAATGGTGATGTTGGAATTCTTAGGGTGGATCAGGAGGTTGCACGAAAGTGTTTCAAGATAGTCTAAAGGCAAGGAGTCATTTGTATACGACGCATGTGGAGCGAGAAGTGTAGCACCCCAATTTTCATAAATTATATGAAGGCCCAAAGCCCAATAAGGGTGATTTAGTAGCCCAAAATGGTCCGTTCCTAAACTGGAACAAGTCTTTCCAAACTACTAAAAAGGCCTATGACCCTAGTTGGGAACAGGCCATTCTAGTTTAAAAACAGGTCGTTCCAAACATGATCGTTATGAGTTAAACTCAACTCTAGAACGGCCCGTTCTGGTTTAAGAACGACCCGTTCTAGATGCGAATTTAACACATGATGGAAGGATCTAGCACGAGATGTTCTGTATCTGAAACGGGCCATTCTGGCCACTTCTGACATCTATAAACAATAGACTCTGACACTGCTCCTAGACACACTCTTTGAAGACCAAAGAGAACCAAGAGAAGGAGATCAACTAGATTTTGCTCTAGCTTCATCTTCTGCTTGTCCAGGTAAGGGGGGAGTGAGAAACCTCACTCGAGAGTGTGGGAATAACTGTTGGATAACAGGATTGGCTCCAATCCCTTGCCTGATGCATGCTTCTAGGAACAGGCAAAATATGAAAGTTTTCTATTTTTTCCTCTGAATGTTCTGTTGCGTTTCTTGTGTGATGTTTAGGGTAAATATGTGTTTGATTTCAAAATTAGATAAGTTTTAATATGAATTAGAGTGTTCTGTGGGTTCCGAAGAAAACCCTGTGAGAAATAGACAAATTTCTAATGTTTTCTGTTTTGACTTCTGAGTTTTCTATTGTATTCCTTGATGTTTGCTAGGTGTGAATATGTGTTTGATTTCGAAAATAGATAAGTTTTGATATGAATTAGAGTTCTCTGTGGGTTTCCGTGGGAAGCCCTATGAAGTGAAATTAGGGATATGATCTTTGAATGAATTTTGAGGCATTATATGTAAAATTGATGATGGATTCATGTTTTGGATAATATTTGGAGTGTTTTGACCGATTGAAATATTAAATTAACTGGCTAGTTGTAAAAAATACGTGAACCCGTGAAGTTGGATTTATGACCGTTATGCTTCGTATGTTATGAATTGCGAATTGAATGTGTATGATGTTGAATAATTTCTTGGTATGATTTATGTGCTATTCTGATGTATATGTCTATGAGAAGTTTCTTGTATGAGACTATGTGAATATGATGAGATAATATGAAAAGTGAATGAGACACGAGGCATGATGATATGTGATAATGAGACATGATATATGAGAAATTATGACAAGTGAAATGATGAGTCAATGAAGTGTGAATGTTTGACATGCATCATGTGCATAAATGTTTTAAGGGTACGATATGGAATACACAGCTAGGGAAGGCCCCCTTGTCTAAAAGCTTGAGGATTAGTCCTTGGAGATAGCTCGGTTTGTAAGTCCCAGTCTCTCCCATTGTGTGCATGGGATGTATCTTGCGTGGCTTAGATATCCCAACTAGACCCTAGTAATATGTCCTTCTAGTGAGAGTGCGCAAAGGGTGTGACCCGGCATGTACTCCTAGACTAGTCTATGTGTATTCCTAGCGGCAATTCACCATGTGATATGTGACTGGACACATGCATGCATTTGTGAGTCGAGTCCATGGCATCATTGCATAATGAGTGACTATGTATGTGCTACTAATGTATGTATGACTTGAGTTGTGCTTTATTAACATGTATTTTGTGTTGTGCTTTGTTATGATTTGTGTGTGTGTTGTCTGACCGTTATTTTTACACCTTAACCTGAGTGAGATGATTCTCACTCCCCTATTTGTTCTATATGTGTCTTTTACTGTGTTGCAGATGACCATCAACATGAGGATGTTGGTGATGAAGCTTAGGCTTCATTTGGGCCTGCTTTGATACGATATGTGACATCGAGACGTAGTTATGATTAACTTAGAATGCTACTTTTGTTAAATTGATTAGAAGACCTTAATTTTATCCTTTTGTAATTTCCACATTAGACTATGATTTATGTTTTATGAATGTGAGCTCTTTACCCTTATCTGGTTAGAGACTTGGATTTTATTTATGAAGGTTTTTATTTCTCTATTTATTGTATAATTATGTATATGGGGTAGAAGGTGTCACAAGAAGTCTAGTCCATAGAGTTGGACCTGAGGGTGGTTCACTTTGATAGCTGACCCACTCTAGCTGAAGATGTTAAGGAGGTAAGTGCAGCCAAGGGAAAGAATGTCAAGATCGGGGTATTCTTGACCCACGAAGATGAGGAGGAGCTAGTAAACGTGTTAAGGAAGAAGTGTCAGTCTTCGCATGGAGTGCTAATGACATGCCTAGCATAGATCTTGATTTTTTGTGCCATAGGCGTATAATGGATCTAAAGGCAAAGGCCATAATCCAAAAGAGGAGAAAGTTCGGCGAGGAAAAAAGGAAAGCCATCGCGAAGGAAACAACAAAACTAGTAGCGACCAGTCATAATTGGGAAATCCAATATCAAACGTGGCTGGCGAATGTGGTGATGGTATGAAAAAGTAGTGGGAAATGGCGTATGTGTCAAGATTTCACTAATTTGAATAAAGCTTTCTTGAAAGATTCATACCCATTGCCCAACATAAATTGTTTGGTAAATGGCACGTCAGGGTATGAGTTGTTAAGATTCATGGATGTGTACTCGAGATACAACCAAATCCGAATGCACCCAACTGATGAGGACAAAACAACATTTATAGCAGATCAGACCAGCTACTATTATAGGGTCATGTCATTTGGATTAAAGAACGTTGGGGCAACCTACCAAAGGCTGATGGACAAGGTCTTGGCGAACCAGTTAGGTAGGAATGCAGAAGCCTATGTGGATGATATGGTGGTGGAATCGGTGAGTGTGGCTTGACATTTTTTCAATCTCCAAGAACTATTTGACACCATCGACAAGTACCAACTCAAGTTGAATCCCGACAAATGCTCATTCAGAGTTCAAGTAGGTAAGTTCCTTAGATTTTTACTGACTCATCATAGTATTGAGGCAAACCCGGATAAATGCTCAACAATAATCAATATGAGAAGCCTTGTAGCAGTGAAGGAGGTTCAACATCTCGTTGGGAGAATGTCCTTGCTTTCATGCTTTCTTTCAAAATCGGCCAACAAAGCATTATCATTTTTTCAATGCTTAAGAAAGAGTGATCGTTTCTCTTAGGTAGATGATTTTGAGAAGGCATTCGAACAACTTAAAAAGTCTCTTGCATCACCACTGATTTTGACTAAACCTCATACAAACTTGCCTTTTGGTTTACTTAAAAAGACGGATTACACACTTGAATGCTCTGACTTTAGGGACTTGCCTGAAAAGAACCATAGACGTCCTCCAAACCGAAACAATACCCATAGTATTACGGACATTTACAACCCAATGTAGAAAATGAATTTTATATATCAAATATTGACTCGTCATAGAATATCCAATTTAACTAATATTAATTGTCTTCTTTATAGTAATAATCATACTAAAATATGATTTATATGTTTAAAAATATCTATTTATATAATTTTAAATATAATTTATATATTTAAATATAATATTTACTTAAATATATAATTATTATAAATTTAATTACATATAATAAATATTTAGGACATTTTTTTCTCATTTACTCTCAAATGTTCTAGTAGGTTAGTTTATGTTGTTAGTAGTAGTGATTTCGTTTAGTGTGACGACTAAGACGAGTCATTACAGCACATGCTAAGTTAATGTATTATTTATAACAAAAATACACATAATAATGATATTTTGTTGTTCATAGACAATATCATCATAACAATAAATTAAACGAAGAGTGTTATATATATATATATATATATAATTTTTTAAAATTTAATTATATAATAAATATTTAACGTGTGCAATCCGTATTAATATATTAATACATACACAATCAAATAAAAAAGAAACGCTTAGAAATGTCAATAAAAAGAATAAGAAGACAAACATAAAAAAAAGTATAAAATGGCAAGAAAATTTTCTCTTTTTCTACTAATTGTTTTTCTGTTATCTCTACTTCCTCTTTATCAACTATAAGAAAAAACACAAGAAAATTGTCTATAAAAACACACAATAAGAAAACACGTAGAATAAATCCTATATTTTGGCGTATGCAATTTCTGCTATACAAGATGTTTCAAGGAGTTTCTAAGAGGCTATTCAAAGATGCTTAAACAAGCCGTGCCAACAACATTAATCAATTATTCTAGGAAAAAAGGCCCACAGCGGAAATGACCAGATTATCATTGACTAGCTAGTTTATTCTTAATTTACTCAATAAAATGTCAGTATAGGGTGTCTGTACAGACAAACTTAGAAAATGTTTTCTTTGTAAATATCCGAATATCTATCATCTTTAAAAATCATTTGAATAAATAAGTAAAATTATTTAATTTATCTTATTACATAATGAAGACCCCAAATAAGATTTGGATAATATTAGAGGTTAACAGCTGTCATACATGACCATTCTTTTAATGTAATTGTAATATATTAGAATTTATTGTGAACCGTACAATCATTAATATAAAGTTAATTATAAACAGTTTCTGAATTTTTTTTAAGTAATTATTTTATTAATGTGAATATCGTTTTTATTAATCTGTCAAATTTTTTACTTCTCTCCCTTAATAGGGTTGGAGTCTAGTTCCAATATTAATTGAAACTAACCACTTGTCGGTAAACAGTTTTTCAATACGCAATAACAAAGCCATTGCACTAATTTAATATGTAACGAATTCTATAATTTTATATAAAGGAACATTTTCGTGTCCACATTTTTAAAGAGAAGTATATTCTTTTATATTTTATGTTATTTTTTCCACTAATTTTTATTTACAGATAATATATTATATATATATATATAACTACTCTTTTAAAAAAAATCTCTTTTTTTTCGAAATATTAATTAATTTATTTTTTCACGGAAACATGAAATGTGTTTTTCTTTCTAGTATGAATGGATGCTATTAAATAAAAGAAAGATTTACCCACGTAATGTAAAATGAAAAGCATTGGGATAATATAAGTTAAATGACTAATTTTTAATCAATGCAATTCAATAAAAAATAAAATAAAAGAAAGATGACCAAGATGTTGTAAACAAATACTAATGACATAGACTTAATTTCTTGGTCGTCTTAAAAAAAACACATTGATAGTCCCAATGCTCTATATCTAATTTGTTGTGTGAGCCAGTCATTCGCTGAAAGAAAGCTAATAGTCTTGCAATAATTTTCTTGCGGTGCTACTATAATACAATCATGGCAAATCAAGTTGATGTGTCTGAAAGCCATTGTTCGTACCAGGTTTTCCTCAGTTTTAGGGGCAAAGATACTCGTCACACTTTTACTTATCATCTCTATGATGCTTTGCGCCGAAAGGGAATTATGACCATCATGGATGATGAGGAACTGAAGGTTGGAGATCAACTTGCTCCTGTGCTTCTTAAAGCCATTGAAGAATCAAGGATCTCGATTGTTGTCTTCTCTGAAAATTATGCAGAATCTTCTTGGTGCCTTGATGAACTTGTCAAGATCCACGACTGTATCAAGTCAAAAGAGCAGCATGTTTGGCCCATCTTCTACAAAGTGGATCCCTCGGATGTGCGGTATCAGAAAGGAAGTTATGCTGAGGCCATGACTAAGCATGAATCAAGGTTTGGGAAAGACTCGGAGAATGTGCACAAATGGAGATTAGCCTTGACTTACATAGCTAACTTGAAAGGAGAACATTTGAAATCTGAAGTAGGGTAAGTATATCTATGTGTTGATTTTCACTACTTGTCAATTAAGACTAAGGATAAGATGTTTGTTTTGTTTATTTCATTTTCTTTTCGTAACTATATTATTTGTATAAAATATCAACGGACTTCTCTAACAATTAACCTCCGTCGGTGAATTTAAAATCTTTTGTAACGATCCGTCGTAGGCTGTCACATTAATAACTAATATGACAATTAAAATAAAATAATATATAATTAAGAAAAGAGAGTAAAAGCCAGTTACACTAGAGTGTAAATATACAATAACGTATAAATTGTTTCCATAATATAAAACATAATTTTTATAAAAGGGTCATCATCAGCAAGGTTATACAGTAATCCAAAAAGATAATATAATTATAATATCATGAAAGTATCAAAATAAGACACCCTAGGTGCTGGTCAAGCTCTAAGTCTAGTCACTTCTCAAAGCAGCTATCCAAAAAGACTTCTTGTCATCCCAAAGCCTCACACCTGATCTGCTCCCCCACATAGTGAGATCATCACAGTCCACATCATGGAAATATAAGGGTTAGCACGTATAAAACTAACCATAGTACAATAAAATGAAATATCATTAACTAGATATTCATCAACAGTATGTATCCATACTAAGGGAAAGACAACATTATAACAAGTCATTTCCATGCCAAATATAAACCAATCCAAAATCCAATGTATACACATCCATGCCAATGCATACGTATTCTATGATAATAAAGAATCCATAACCAATGTATACAATCCATACCGAAATGCATACATATTCCACATCTAAACCAAAGTCACATCACTGTATAATCTCATGAAGTAGCCAACACATCCAAACCAAATGTTGACCTCAACACATCCAAACCAAGTGTTGAATTTGTGAACATGTTGATCAATCATAATTTGATATATATCTTTTACTTCAATTTTAGCTATTTTACATTCCATCTATGCTTAATTATAGGATTTAGAAAGATATGTGTGTTGTTGGGCCTAATTGGATAGTTGAGAATTATTATTCTAAATTTTCGCTGTTTTTGGGCTGATGAACATGTCTCGGTTTTCAGGGCATAACTTGGGCTGTGGTTATCCAAATGGTGCAAACTCGGTGGCCTTGGAAAACTAAGACAAATATCTAAAAATTACCCAGAAATAGCCGTTGGCCAATTCGATCATCTAGAAGGTCATAATCGGTGGTCAAAAATCGGTGCGAAAAATATGGCATCCAACTCATCCCACCAACAACACCAACTTATCCCATTTCGTTTTGTCTTAACTTTTCCCCATTATTTTATATTTTTTATGTGTTATATGAAGGCTATAAATAGGCCTTCACTCTTCCATTGCAAAATGTCCCAAACATCTTCAAATAAGTTACTCTTGGGTGTTCTTCTACCTCCCTTTCTTCTTAATCTTTCTTTTTATTTAATGTTATAATATCTTTTAATTTCATGGATAGTTAAAGTTTCTAATTCAGCTTGTGGTAAAAAAAAAAAAAATTTTGAACTGCATGGTTGTAAATAAAGAAAGAATAAAAGTGTTGATGAAGGAGTTGAAGCATCATTTGATTCTTACAATTTAAATTCATTCCTCATTACTCTCTTATTCCTTAGGATTTTAGCCAACACAATCATTAATTTATCCTTTTCTCTCCCTTACTCCATTACAACCTAATAAAAAACCTTTTGATTTTTGTATGCATTGTAAAAAAGTGGTGGAAATTGGCAAGCTCATAGTAGTGCATTGTTTCATGATGTGGCTTGAGAGAAAACACTTGACCAATAAACACTTGAGAGTTGAGAGTTGTGAGAATTCACCTAATGAAGTTTTACCATATTCATGTTATCTTCTCACTTGAGTTGTCTTCCTTAATAGTCCAATTAATGTTTAGGTTCCAACATCATGATAAGTTTGGCTCCTTGATACTTGATTGATTCTCTTGTGCATCACATTACTTCTCTCATTAAACATTTTACTGTGTGGTGAGTTTCATGTTCTATTCTTAATGTTTTGCCCGGAGTGCAAAAAGCTAAATATAGGGGTATTTGATCAATCATAATTTGATATGTATCTTTTACTCCAATTTTAGCTATTTTACATTCCATTCATGCTTAATTATAGAATTTAGAAAGATATGTGTGTTGTTGGGCCTAATTGGATAGTTGGGAATTATTATTCTAAATTTTCGCTGTTTTTGGGCTGATGAACATGTCTCGGTTTTCAGGGCATAACTTGGGCTGTGGTTATCTAAATGGTGCAAACTTGGTAGCCTTGGAAAGCTAAGACAAATCCCTAAATATTACACAGAAATAGCCGTTGGCCAATTCGATCATCTAGAAGGTCAAAATCGGTGGTCAAAAATCGGTGGTCAAAAATCGGTGCGAAAAATATGGCATCCAACTCATCCCACCAACAACACCAACTCAGACCACAAACAACACCAACTCATCCCACCAACAACACCATTTTTGGGACATTTTGCAATGGAAGAGTGAAGGCCTATTTATAGCCTTCATATAACACATAAAAAATATAAAATAATGGGGAAAAGTTAAGACAAAACGAAATGGGATGAGTTGGTGTTGTTGGTGGGATGAGTTGGATGCCATATTTTTCGCACCGATTTTTGACCACCGATTTTGACCTTCTAGATGATTGAATTAGCCAACGGCTATTTCTGGCTCATTTTTACGGATTTGTCTTAGCTTTCCAAGGCCACCGAGTTTGCACCATTTGGATAACCAAAGGCCAAGTTATGCCCTGAAAACCGAGACATGTTCATCAGCCCAAAAACAGCAAAAATTTAGAATAATAATTCCCAACTACCCAATTAGGCCCAACAACACACTTGCTAAATGCTATAATTAATCATTTATTTAATTTAAAATAGCTAAAATTGAAGTAAAAGATACATATCAAATTATGATTGATCACATGTCACCTACCCACGTCACACACCTAACCTCTCATGACAAATATACAGTTGGGTTACGTCGTCATGTAACCCTGGTGATCGCGACCACTTCATCCATCGGTATGACTCGGCCTTGCCCCCATACCGGTAGCAAATAGAATACTTAGAGGAGTACTTCAGAATCCACCTAACATCTGAAGTGGTTTATTATATAATCTTTAGAAAAGTTCCATATTGGAATCCTCACCATGGGACTCCCAAATTGCATATTTTTCCAAAGATTATATCCAAATCTCACTAAGAGATATTCCAATCCATACCATAACCTTACTCCTCTAAGTCCTATTAACTTTCCAAACCAAACACACATAAGCACATTCCATAATTACATGCAATCTTTTCCAAAATCATGCCACATTCCATACCAAATATATAACATCAAGGATGATATGATTCAACATTTAAAAGTTTCATAAAAACTCAATTATAAAAGGTTTTCCTCAAAGAAACCACGTGCCCAGCGCAATGGTATTTACGCCCAGCGCAACTAAAACTGGGAGCCTATCAGGCTTTGCCCGCTCAGCGCGTCACCACGTGCGCTCAACCCATGACTATATGCGCTCAACGCGTAGACTCGTGCGCTTTGGTGCTTAAGACAGAGAGCCACTTGAAACAGCCCACTCAGCGCGTAGACCCGTGCGCTCAGCCCATTTGGAAATGCGCTTAGCCCATGGCTAAATGCGCTCAGCGCGCTCTAGACAGAAAGCTCTGTTCTTCAATGCGCTCAGCTCGTTGTCGCGTGCGCTTAGAGCACATCCTGATAGAAAGTTCTGTTCTTCGGTGCGCTCAGCGCATCGTCCCATGCGCTTAGCGCGATGCATCAAACAGCGTGTCAGAAGTTCGAAACCTCCGATTTTCACCCCTGCCCACTAGAGTTGAGCAATTGATTGGCAAGTGGTTTACTGACAAGGAAGCCCAAGATTACTACTTTGAGTGGTATGCGGGTAAGAGAATCATTCCTCCAAAAACTTTAAAATTGAGTGTTTCAAGAACGAGGATTTCAATTTTCCTCCTCTCTTGGAGTATCAAGAACTTGGACAATTCTTGGAGTTGGAAGGTCCCTATTATCCGGACCTCATTAGGCTATTTTTGTGTTTTGCTTCAAGCAATGGTGGAATCATGCAATCCGTAGTGAAAGGGAAGCTTATAAATCTTGATGGACCAACCCTAAAAGGAGCTACTAGGTTGAGCGGAATCGGGAGCACAAAGCCCCAACCTTTCAACTTTGGTGATTTTGAGGAGTTGACAACCTTTAAGGACTGTCAAAGGAATTCAGAGAACACAAACTATAGTAAGTTTTTTGATGGAGGACCATCCATGGTACTTCATGTGAAACCCATCACATGGTCCAATGCTATGACTAATTTTGAGTAGTGTAGGATTTATTTGGTTTATTCCAATTTTACCCTTGTATTTTGGGGTATTTTAATCATAGGATTTATTTTCTTTGTATTTCCTATTTTACCCTTGTATTATGGGGTGCTTTAGATAATTAGGGTTTTCAATTTTTGGGCTAGGGTGTTTTAGAGGAGGTGACGCAATTTTTGGCAAAGTTTGGACCTATTTTTGGTGTTAGAAAGGCTTAGGCCCAAGTGGAGGGCAAAGGTTGCATGGTCTTATCATGCACCTTGTTATAGCCAATCTAAACCCATAGATTCCAAACTTGGCCACCAAGTTGCATCTAGGGTTAATTTGGCATTTTTTTTTGAGGAATAAATTAAATATTTATAAATTTATATAATGTTGCGCAATTAATTAAAGGTACTTTTTTACAGGCGTTGTAGGGTGCTAATACCTTCCTTACACGTAATCGACTCCCGAACCCAACTTTAATTTTAAAGATTATCCTTTAAAGGGTTTTCCAATGTTTTTCCCTTAAATTAAAATATTGGTGGCGACTCTATTAAAATAAAAATGTTAGCGTCATCCCGTCGTGATCCCGGTTACGACAACAAATAATCGATTATTTGTATGAATAATCGATTATTTTCGCGACCCTTCATTTTTCAGAAAATTTTTGAACGGTTATCCTCGCGCCAACTCCCACCTTCTTTCATTAGTGGCACCTCTTCAGTACCGAATCTGGTGCCTAGGGTATTAATCTCACCCAACGCTCACATTCTCCAAAAAAAAAAAACCCACACACATTCTCTCAACTCTCATACACACAAACCCTAAGCTCTCATTCCTCTTCTTGTTCTCTTATCCAACCAAGAACCCACTTTTTTCTGTAAAATGGCCTCATCTCCTAAGAGGATTAAGAAGCTCGAGGTCAGAGGGAGCAAGAGACCTCTGCCCACTAGAGTTGAGCAATTGATTGGCAAGTGGTTTACTGACAAGGAAGCCCAAGATTACTACTTTGAGTGGTATGCGGGTAAGAGAATCATTCCTCCAAAAACTTTAAAATTGAGTGTTTCAAGAACGAGGATTTCAATTTTCCTCCTCTCTTTTCTTAGCTTTGATAGCCCTTCCCACACCTGTAGTGGGAGTCACCTTCAAAAATACATGATCTCCCTCTGAAAACTCCAAAGGTTTCCTCCTCTTGTCTCCATAAGACTTTTGCTGACTTTGAGCAACTTTCATTCTTTCCTGAATTTGTTTCACTTTTTTGGTAGTCTGTAAGATGATCTCTGGCCCTACTATCATTGATTCTCCCTCTTTAAACCAACACAAAGGTGTTCGACACTTCCTCTCATACAGAGCCTCAAATGGTGCCATTCCTATACTTGCATGAAAACTGATATTATAAGTGAACTCGACCAAAGGTAAAATTTCTTCCCAACTCCCTAGATGATCCAAAATACAAGCCCTCAAAAAGTCCTCCAAAGATTGGATAGTCCTCTCAGACTGCCCATCAGTCTGTGGGTGATAAGCAGAACTGAGTCTCAACTTAGTCCCTAACGCCTGGTGCAAACTCTACCAAAATCAGGATGTAAACGAGGATCCCTATCAGAAATGATACTGGAGGGCACACCATGTAATCTAACAATCTCCTTAATATACAACTGAGTTAACTTTTCCAAGGACCATTTTATATGCACTGGAAGAAAATGAGCACACTTAGTTAATCTATCCACGATCACCCAAATAGAATCACAATTCGTAGCAGACCTTGGTAATCCAACAACAAAATCCATGGTTATACTATCCCATTTCCATTCTGGCACTTCCATCATTTGTAACAATCCTCCTGGTTTTTTATGTTCTACCTTAGCTTTCTGACACATAATGCAAGATGCAACATGGAATCATGCAATCCGTAGTGAAAGGGAAGCTTATAAATCTTGATGGACCAACCCTAAAAGGAGCTACTAGGTTGAGCGGAATCGGGAGCACAAAGCCCCAACCTTTCAACTTTGGTGATTTTGAGGAGTTGACAACCTTTAAGGACTGTCAAAGGAATTCAGAGAACACAAACTATAGTAAGTTTTTTGATGGAGGACCATCCATGGTACTTCATGTGAAACCCATCACATGGTCCAATGCTATGACTAATTTTGAGTAGTGTAGGATTTATTTGGTTTATTCCAATTTTACCCTTGTATTTTGGGGTATTTTAATCATAGGATTTATTTTCTTTGTATTTCCTATTTTACCCTTGTATTATGGGGTGCTTTAGAT